GTGATCTGCGGTGCCTGAGGGGTGGCGGTGTCCAGTCCAGTCGTGTGAGTGACCTGCGGTGCCTGAGGGGTGGCGGGCGTCCAGCACTTCACGCAGCTCCAGAGTTCCCATGCTGGAGAAACCACAGAAGGAAAGTGGCCCAGTGACCACTTCAGTGCTCAGACACGGCAGCGGGCTCGAGGCCCCGAGCTCAGGGTGCCGGTCAGCCGCCCGTCCCCAGGCGCCCGGGTCGCCCTCGGCCTTCCCGCCGGACGCCGTGTCCCAGTCCGTGCCTCCTTGCCCTGCCTGGTCTGCGGGCTCCGGGCTGCTGGGAGTCACTTCACGCTGAGAGCAGGGCTGCACCTCAGCACCGCCCAGGGCCCATCTGCCCGCCCTGCCGGAGGGGCCGCCTGTCTGACGGGCAGCTGGAGGCCGCGCGGGCCGCTCTCGGGGTCCCGGCGCCCCCTCCCGCCCCACCAGGCTGCTCTCCGGCCTCGCCCACGGCGCGGCTGCGGGGCTGTGGGGTGGCCTTGGCTGTCTAAGCGCGGGCGTGGGCTGGGGCTCGAGCCGCGACGTCACGGGAACTGGCAGCTCAGCCCGACATGGGCACTGCCTCGGCCGTCTGCTCCTGGTGGAAACGGGCCCTGCAGATCGGGTCGCAGGAGTGAAGGGGGTGGATCTCTGAGTCCGCGGGATGCCTGTGACCCCCAAGTGTGCTTCTGGCCTCAGGAGAGCGCTGCCGAGAAGGAGCACTGGAGTCAGGAGCCGGAGGGCAGTGGCGGGGTGGGAGACGGCGGCCGCAGCTCAGGCCACCTCCGGTTGCAGACAGCCGCTGCGTCCTCCCGCTCCCGAGTGCCGGCGGGGTACTGAGAGAGCCCCGTGCCCCCCTCCAGGGGCTACGCCACCAGGCATGTGGTGGAGGGCCTGGCGCCGCGGACACTGTACCGGTTTCGGCTGAAGGTCACCAGCCCCTCTGGAGAATTTGACTACAGCCCCGTGGTCACCGTGTGCACGACCAGTGAGTACCGCCCGCCGGCCGCGGCTTCTCGGGACCGGCGCAGAGGCCGCAGGGAGGGGCCGGAGCGTTCCGGCTCGGGGGCTCCCTGGAAAGCAGCCACGATGGTGCGTTTGAGCCTGGGGAGACCTGGCTCCCCGAGACCCGGGGCAGGCCGCTCACTCAGAATCGGGACAGCAGCTCTTCCCGGTGCCGGGACTGGCCTGCCGGTGGGCTGGGGCCGGACTGGGCGCTGGCCCCCCGGGGCGGGGGCTGCCTGTCTGGGGTCCTCGGGAGCCACACGGGGCCGAGCGGCCTCCGTGTGTGGGTCTGGCCCTGGGGCGGGCAGGGCCCTCTGCCGCCCAGGGGAGGGGGTGCGCACTCGCTCGGAAGCGGGGGCCCAGGCCACCACCCCGACCCGCTCCCTTTGCCCAGGTCAGGTTTAGGGCGCAGCTACTTCCTGGGGTCATGGTAGCCCGTGTGTGCAGAGTTAGCGTGGGTGGAGGGCCCTGGCCCGCGAGCAGGTCTCGCCTTTGTGAGGAAAGTGCTGTCCAGCGCGGGGAGCCTGGCCGGCGTGCTCGGTCCCTGCGTCTTAACTGTGTCCGTGAGCGTCGATTCCTGGGAACCGGGGGCAGGACACAGGCCACCTGAGCGCGCCTTCGCCCAGAGTGTCTCCCCCCAGCACAGCCGCCGCATCTCACGGGATGCGGTTTGGCTCCGTGGGGTCAGCGGCCGCGAGCTGGCCGGGGCCCCTGGTCGTGGCGGGCAGAGAATGGAAAGGCCGGAGGTGGAACGCAGAGGAGGAGGAGGAAGGCCGGTTTCCCTGCTGGCCCTCACGTCCGCTGGGGGACAGGTCCTCCCGCAGTCGGGAGGCCACTGGCACTGGCCGGGAGGGGCTGGCGGGGTGCGGGCCAGCCCTGGGGTCACCAGCAGGCTCTTGGCACCGTCACACCCACTGCAGCCAGGGCCGCGGCTGCGCGCACGGGCGGCGTCGGGGGCCGCGCCGGGAAGGCAGAGGCCGGCTTGCAGGGACCAGGGCTCGGCCTGCCGCTGCGGCTGCTTCCGGAGGCCGCCAGGGCCGGCACTTGCTTTTCCCCACTGGCACAGGCTGCCAGCCCCCACCCTCTCACCCACCGGCAGGCTCGGGAAGCAGAGGGAATCCACTCTTTCTGCTCCCGTGCCCTGCAGGCTTTGGGGGGCCGGCTGAGAGGTCAGAGTGCCACTGACTGGAGACTGGGAGGCCTTGCCCATGTGGGTGTTTTTCCAACGTTCACCCCGTCTTGCAATGCCAGGACCGATGGGCCCTGGGCGTTGGCAGTGTGGACAGGCCCGCATGGGGCCTTGCAGCAGGACAGGGCAGGGCGGGGTCCACGGGAGGGTCAGCACCTGCAGACCCGGCCGGGCGGTCTCTGTTAGGAGCCGCGGGGGACGGGTGAGCTCCCTGGAGAGGCTCTTACCGGGGGGTTGCCTAGAGCTGCTCGCCCCGTTTGAGCGAGTCTCGCGTCCTTCACCTGCGCAAGAGCACTCACAGGCTGGCATCTCCCAGGCGCTGCTGCCCTGACGCCCTAAAGCCCTTGCAGCCAACACCCCAGTCCCCGCTCCCAGGACAGCCCCAGATAGCCCCGCCATAGGTGCCGAGCCTCCTGCCGAGCGGCAGGGGGACCCCCACCGCACCCCGAGGGAGGCCGCCTGCCCGTCCTTGGCTCTAGGCCTCACCTGGACTCGTTTGTGCCCTGAGGCCCCTGTTCTCTTCTGGGGTGCATGCCCCAACGAGGACCGCCTCCTCTCTGCCCCTTGGCTGCCTGGCGGGCCCCTCCCCTGCCCAGGCTGCCCAGCCTGCTGTGACCCCACTGGGCCACAAGCGCCAGGGACACCCCGCGGCTCCGCTTCCCGGGGAGGCGTGGCTGCTGCCTCAGAAACGCTCGCGCTTTGCCCTTTGGTCACTCGTTGGCCGCTCAAGTTGGCCGGCGACTCTGGCCCAGAAACCAGCTCCTTGGGGCAGCGACGGCGCTGAGGGTTGGCCAAGTCTGACGGAACCGGGAGGGTCATTCCCAAAGGTCAGCGCAGCCTGGAGCCAGCGCTTCTGTGATGTGACGAAAGGCCGGCCTGGCCTGCTCCCCACCTCCCCCGAGGGGGCTGCTGCCCCAGCCCCCCGCCTTGGGCGACCCGCCTCTGTTTCTCCAGGAGAGCCCCTCAGCAGCGAGCACTTCCACCGAGCGGTCAGCGTCAACGACGAAGACCTGCTGGCCCGGATACTCCAAGGCGGGTGAGCGGGCGCCGTGGCCTGTCCGCTGTTCCGCGCCCCCCGTCAAGCCCCGGGCCGCTTTATGCCCCCGAACCCCGTCCTTAGAGACGGGCTCCCTGGGGACGGCTGAGTCCAGCGGTGAGTCCAGCAGCCCCCACGGAGAGGGCCGCCCCCCTCGGGGGGCTGAGGCCTCGTGGGGCTTGTGGTCACCGCCGGGAGAGTCGCCAGCCCGGGCATCCCTTTCTTCCCAGAAGGTTCTGCCCAGGCCCCTGTCTGATTACCCCTGCCGAGATGGAGGGGTCACTCGGTCTGTTCTTTCTGATTCAAAAGCTTGAGGGCCCCGGGAATCAGGCCAGCACGGGCGCTACAGGGGGGTCACTGCCCCTCGGTGACCAGGGAGGATGGAACGAGGATGGTAGCCGGGGTCTGCTTAGGGTCAGTGTCCCAGTGCCTCTGGACACAAGTCGCTGCCTGGGCCGCTGGAGTCAGGCCGCACCCACAGAAAACTGAGCTGCGGGCTGACCCCAGCACCCTGCGCCCCTAGATGAGGGGATGCTCAGCGGCAAGCGGGTGCCTGACGGTCCCAGAGGGGCCCCCCACGCGCCTCGGGGTCGCGTGTGGTCTCGAGCTGAAGGCAGCGCCTGCTGTAAGGGAACTGGCGGCGGCGCTCCGACCTCCCGAGAATCCGAGTCTTGGCAAATGCCAGGCGGGGCAGCCTGAGGCGACGGGCCCTGGATGCCTGGAAGAAGTTGGGCGTTTCGGGAGTGCGCCACTGTGGCCCCGGGCACCCCCGGCGGGTCACGCCTCCGCGTCTCCCCAGCTCCATCCAGGTGGATGTCCCCAACAAGTTCGGCTTCACCGCGCTGATGGTCGCCGCCCAGAAGGGGTACACCAGGTGGGCGCTCTGCCGGGGCGGGCCCCGCCCCTCAGGGCTCCCCGGGCTGGCAGGGACAGGGCAGGGGCCCCGGGGGGCCCAGCTGCTGCTCTTCCCCCAGCTGTCCCCCAAAGGGGCTGAGCACGCACTCGGCCGTCCGCTGCGAGGTCACAGAGGTGCAGGCGCGAAGGGAGGTGACCTCTGGCGCTGCTTTGCAGCCCGTTCTGTGGTGCTGGGGAGAGCAGTCACTGGAATTTGAATTTCCTTAAAAAAGAAAGGGCTGAGGCTTCGTTCAGCCCTGCACAGTGGTCAGCGCCCCCAGGCCGGTGTCGGGCATCTCGGTGGCTCGTTCTGATATTTTGTGAGTGTGTCCAACGCGTAGATGTGTACACAACCACACATTAACCCGCTTTTTATTTTAACCACTGAAATGCCCTTTGGCAAACACGGCAGAGAAGCGCTCGGCAGCGGCCCTGGCCTCTCCCCTCAGGCTGGTGAAGCTGCTCGTGTCCAGCGGCACCGACGTGAGTCTGAGGAACGGAAGCGGCAAGGACAGGTGGGTGGGGCGCGGGCTGGGCTGCGCCCCGGTAGTGGCATGCCAGGCTCCGACTTGGCCCGTTTCTCTTGACGGAGCTGAGACTGAGGTGAGCTGGTCACAGAGCTGGTGACTGTGACACAGGCCTTGTCCTGCGTGACCAGGGTGCCAGTGGCTGCCGGGGTCGGGGGTCTGAGGCCCCTGCCCAGCCCCAGCTGTCCAGCTGTGGCCGTCGCTACCCGCTCTGGGCATTTGCCCCTAGGTGCCTGCGGTCCGTCCCCGGCCCTCCCTTGAGACAGTCGCTGCGTCTCCACCCAATTCTGCAAACAGGCATCTCATGTCGCTAAAGTCATAAACCGCTGTCACAGCTGGAACTGTGACCGAGAACCTCCCAGAGGTTCAGGGAAAGCTGCTGCTGAGAGCCTGTCTCTGGACGCCCACACTCAGGTGGCGGGAGGTTTGAGAAAGGTTGAAAACAATCCCTAGCCTACAGTTTGGCCTAGTTAGCTTATTCATCAACTCGATGACTATTTGCCACTGAATGTGGACAGGACAGGCCTGAGCTGGCCCCTCCCTGCACTGGGCACAGCCAGCCCCGCTCCCAGGGGGCCGAGGAAGGCCAGGAGCACCCAAGAAGTGCCTCTAGCGCCGAGGGCCTCCTGCGCCACTCTGGGCGCAGTGCAGGGGGCACCCCTCAGCAGCGGTATCAGACAGTGTCTAAGTCTAAAAAGCGGTTTTCTGAATGGCTCCAGAAGTTTGCAAAAGAATAATGCCACTTTAAAAGAGGAAAAAGAAAAACATTGGAAGGAAAGGGGAAGAATCAACAGCGAGGCAGGCTCTGAGGCCTTAGAAAACACCGGCCGAGGCCACTCTCGCCCGTCTGAGACAAGAGATCACGAGTTTCAAAGGGTGTGGGTGACGCTTCTGGAGACCATGTGAACAGGACAGGCAGCAGCTGCTTCAGCCGCAGGAAATCTGGCGAATCTGCTGGTGGAGGTATTTTTTATGACGAAACTTGAACCACCAGACTCAGCCCAAGGAGCACAAAACCCGAAATCCCCAGCGTCCGCACAGACACGTGTGCCCAGGGCCCAGTCTGGCTGCGGCCGCCTTGGGGTCCGGGAGCCGCTCGCGGTGCTGGCGCTGGCGGGGTCCCTCGGAAGGTCCGTGGGGAGCCCGGGGTCAGCCCAATGCAGTGGAGGGCGGGGGCGGGGGCCGTGCGAGGGGCAGCCCGCTGGCCTCTCCGGGCCTGGCCGCTGGACTCAGCACGGTTTCACGGGAGCTGGGGAGGGCGACGGGGAGCCCCTGCTCGTCGACGGTGGGCGTGTGGGGGCTCTTCGGCTGGGAAACGCTGGGATGAGGCTGGAGACAGGGCTCGATTCTGGCAGAACCGACTTCAAATATTTGGGCGCAGGGTGGAGGCTCTAGACAGTGGGCAGACGCGAGGGAGAGGGGAGCAGTCCTGAGTGACGCACCGGCCGGCCTCCCAGTAAGGCGGGGGACACGCGAGCGTGCAAAAGAGGTCAGCTTTGCACCGAAACCGGTGAAAATGTACCGTATCGAGTGACCAGACTGAGTGCAGCTCTCCGGGCGTCCCCGAGCTAACAGGTAGGCTCTGCGAAGCCTTGCAGGAATTTTTCTTGGGAACCTGTCAAAAATGGTTCTGTAATTTGCCTGGAATAAGAAATAGACGGTAACAAGTAATAGATACTTTCTCAAGGAAGAATGTGGCTCTGCCTTGGCAGTTTGTAAAGTGCCTTATCAAGTGCAGTGACTGCAGTCAGTTGGGCAGAAGAGAAAAGACGTGAAAGTGAAACTTGGAAGTGGACGCATGCACGTGAGCCGCGTGTGCTCAGCCGGCGCCGCGCGGGGGGAGGCGGGAAGAGCAAACTGCGTTCTGATCGGCCAGCGAGTACGAAAATACATGTCGGAGCAGCTGGCACTAAGTACAAAAAGCAAAACCTTGAAAAAAGGACTCGAAAACAGTGCAGAAGGCTCTTGATCGTGTAGTGTGAAAGACACAAGCATCGAAAGAAATCACCAAGAAAAGACACATTCTAACGACCGAACGCCAGAGGTCAGGGCTTTCTGGGGAAATAACTGGAATAGGTAGGCGGTCTCCCCCCCACCCCCAAAACCCCAACTGTGCATTTGAAAAATGGCTGTCTGCGCCAGGAGCTCATAGTAGCTTGCGGTGAACAGTTAACGTAGAGAAGGCGGAGCCTTGCTAGTGACGAAGGTTAGAAACTTTCCTGGGATTATACTTTGGCCGATTTGAAAGTCAACAGCAGAGCCGAGTCGTGGGGCCTCACGGTATCGGGGGGCTCAGGGCCACGGCGCCTCTCGTTCCCAGGCCAGCTGAGCAGGGTTCCGGCTGGAGCTGCCCCAGGTTACGCCTCAGCTGGTGCTGCGGCCTGCGTGGGCCCCGCAGCGGCCCCGCGAACAGGGGTCCCGCGGCCCGGGGCTCCGTGAGCCTCAGTGTCCCCTTCGCAGGGGAGTCTCCCACCGCGTGAGGAGGCTGTGTGAGCGTCCTCCCCGCACGGCACCCTGAGCGCCTCTGGGAGCTGTCTGGCCACCTGCTGAATTGGGAGTTGCAAAAGAGGGAGGGATTTCTTAACTTCATGATTTATTTTTATGAGCTTACGAGCTGTGAAAAAAGAGCGTCAGCTGAGGCTGCTACGTCTCCTCCCGTAAAGCCAGCAAATGTTTAACAGTTTTCTTGAAATACCAATATTTAGAGTACAGCCGGCTCGGCAGTTCCCTCAGACGGCGTCAAATGGGTATTTTGTCTCCTTTCTTCTCTTCTAAATATCACCACGGCTGTATCTCAACCACAGTGACGATTCACTTCTAACTCGGAGACGAAGCGCGCATGCTTGCAAAATCCACTGCCCTAAAGTGTGCAATTGGCATTTCACTTTTCCAGTGCATTAGCAGAGTCGCGCAGCTGCCACCACTAATTCCAGAACGTTCCATCCGCTCAGAAGGGAGGACGCCTCTGCCCGGAGCAGTCCCCCGGCCTTCTCCCCCCGCGCGGCACCCGCAGGGGTCCGGGCCCCTCCTGCCCGGGACAGTCGCACTAACACGGTCTCAGCTGCAGAGGCCTGTGCTTGGCGTCCTGCGCTTAACGCGGCGTTTGGAGGTTCGTCCGTGGGCAGCCCAGGCAGCGCCCCGCGTCCGGAGCGGCATTGACTGAGCCAGTCCGCAGGGGCCCTGGCCCGGTCACGTGCACGAGGTTTATCTTCCCTTACCGACATAGCACGATGACGCTGAGCCAAACATTGTTACTGGCGGGCCCGGCAGTCTTCACTCACTTCTATGGCCGAAGAACACCCCGTGTGCTCAGACCACACTGTGTCTGTGTGAGGTTTCTATTTTCTCCAAGTCATGTTTAAAAGAGATTTGCTTACTTATGCACACAAGAACCGGGTACAGGTGAGGGAGAAATGACTCCCCCCTAGAGACAGCGCGGGGCGCAGAGCAGGCGGATCCACTGAAGCCCGCTGCTGAGGGGGCCGCGGGGGACTGGACTCGGGCTGTCCAGGGACGGACTCGGGCTGTCGTGGCTGCGGCAGCTGCACCGTGCTGAGACTGGACCCCTGCGCCACCCAGGGGGGGGCCCTTTCTCTAAGCAGTTTTCGTGGCTCTTCTACTCTGGGGCGAGCCAGGGGGATGGGGGTAGGAGGGGCCCCCGGAGTGGCCCCCAGCCCGTGCCCCGTGTGTTGCAGTCTGATGCTCGCGTGCTACGCGGGCCACCTGGACGTCGTGAAGCTCCTGCGCAGCCACGGCGCCAGCTGGGAGACACGCGACCTGGGGGGCTGCACGGCCCTGCACTGGGCTGCCGACGGCGGCCACTGCCACGTGATCGAGTGGATGATCCGGGACGGCTGTGAGGTGGGGCCTCGCCGCCGCGCCAGCCCGCTGGGGGTCGACCCGGGGGCGCAAGGGCCAGCAGGCCTGACGCAGCCTCAGGCCGTCCCGGGACGGCCGCGCCCCCATGGCCTGGGCCTGCTGCCCGGGGCAGGTAGAGTTGCTGTCTCCAGGGGCGCACGGAGGCGGCGGTATCCACACGTGTGCCAGCGCACTCCTCGATCGAGGGGTGTCCCTGGCCGGGGGGCGGCCCGGGCGCGTTCCTCGGGGGGACGGCTGCGGGGAGGAGGCCGCCCGGGCTGGACCTGGCTGCTCCTGTGTGTTCTGCCCCCGGGTCCCATCCCGACAGCCACAGGCACTGCCAGCTTAGGGGGCAAGTATGTGCGAGCAGGCTGCTCGGAAAGGACTTGAAACCGCTTCAAGTCACTTGAAAGTAACAACGAACTTCAAAGCCCTGCCGAGGGAAGGCAGGCGCGAGAGCATGGGGCGGCTCCGGGCGCCAGGAGTGAGGGACACCCTGGCATTTCCCTCCTTGTTGTACCGTCCGCACGGAGCAGAGCTGAGGGGGGGAGTGTCGGGGGGGCCCGGGGCCCCAGCACGTGCAGCTCCTCAGTGCGCCTGCAGCCAGCTGGGCGTCCCTCTGGGCGGCAGGCCGGCTGAGAGCAGCTCTTCTCTGGCGTCGCAGGTGGACGTGGCAGACACGGGCTCGGGGTGGACCCCACTCATGAGGGTCTCCGCGGTCTCAGGAAACCAGCGCGTGGCCTCGCTGCTGATTGAGGCCGGAGCGGACGTGAACAGGAGGGATAAGGACGGGAAGACGCCCCTGATGGTAGGGCCCCGCCCCAAAGCCTGCTGCTCCCTGCCGCCTCACAGGGACCTCGACGGCTCTTTGTTGACAGCGGTCACTTTCAAAGCTCCAGGGCCATGTCCCTGTCGGGCAGCACAGGCCCGTGGAAGCCTCTCTGCTGTCCAGCCGCGGGCCTGGCCCCCGTGGGCCTGGACACAGCCACTGCCTGCCTCTGCGCGGTCAGCTTCCCGCAGGGCCAGAGCCCGCCCCACCCTACCCCTGCGCCGGGCACGCGGAGGCCCGGGGGCTCACAGGGGCCCGGGGGCTCACAGGGGCCCGGCTCTGCGGTTCTCAGGTGGCCGTCCTGAACAACCACGAGGAGTTAGTCCAGCTGCTTCTCGAGAAGGGGGCAGACGCAACTGTGAAAAACGAGGTAAAGACGCGGTCTTTCCCGGAGACGCTCCGCGGGAGGAGAGCATAGCACACACGGATGACCACGCTCCTTGTTCTCTCTCCCAGTTCGGCAAAGGCGTCCTGGAGATGGCCAGAGTTTTTGACAGACAGGTTGGAATGTTCTTTCTGCTGCTCAGGGCTAACTTGCACCACTTGAAGTTGCCAGCAGAGATCCCAGACGCCCGCCCCTGGGGCCCCAGCCACGTGTTTTCTGTTTACCTAGAACGTGATCTCCTTGCTGGAAGAGAGGAACAAGAAGCAAATGCCCAAGAAGTCGCTGGTCCGCTGACCGCTGGTCTCCGAGGGCCGAGGGCAGCAGGGCGGGGCCGGCTGTCCACGCAGAGCGATGAGCTGCAGCCCCGGGGCTACGGCGGGTTATTTACTTAGTTGAAGCTTCACAGGGACCTGGTAACCGGCGCACCTACGACCGTCCCACGTTGAAATACATCTTTTTACCCAAGCGCCGCCGTGTCCTCACTGGGACCCGACGCCACGCTTGCTTCCTCGTGCGCCTTTTGAGCTGGTGTGAAAGGAAACGTCGGTGCCTCAGAGCTGCTGGCACACAGGGCTCTTCTCCCTCCCCGGGCTGCGCTGGGGTCCCTCCTGGGGTCCCCTGGGGTCCCTCCTGGTGGGCGCTGCTCCTCCCCCACGAGCCCGGAGCCACGTGAAATCTTTTCTTCTCAACTGTCGGCCTCACGTCAAAGCCCAGAGTCGGTATCTCAACACTCCCATGTGCCTGGCGCAGGGGACGCCGGCCAGGCTTGCCCGGACGGCCAGTCCGAGCAGGAGGCGTCCCCACGTGCGCCCTGACGGGGGATCACCTGGCTGGCGCTGCCCAGGTGCTCGGCGGAGGGTGGTCTTGAGAGCGGGAGGGTGTGGAGATTGCTCCGTTTGGGTCAGGGAATGGTGCCACCAGGCCTGCCGACTGGGCCGGCCACAGGCGGGAGGAGCACGTGGCTCAGCTGGACACTGGAAGGCAGCGAGGGCGTGAGCGGGGAGGCGGCCTGCGCTGTGTCCGCCCCGGGCCACCTGCCACGGCCTGCACAGCAGCGGGACTTTCTCCGGGAAAGGCCGGTGGAGGCTTTGGGAGGAAGGCGGGGGACGGCCCTCTGCGTCTGCGCGGCCCTCGGGTACCCCGTGCAGCGCACACTGCCCCCTTGGGGGGGGGTTGTGGGTCACAGCCCTCCGCTGCCGCACTACGGCTTAGCTTTGCGGGCACAGTCCTCTGCGTCGGCTGGATCGAAAGCTCTGCACACCTGATCACGGCCACACGTCCCAAAGCTCTGCTCGGGGTTCAACCCGCCTTGCTCCCGTCTCTCCGTCTCTGCAGACACCAGCCCCCTCGGTGGCTGGGCTCGTCGTACCCCGTTGGCCTCAGGCCGGGAGGCACCTTCCTGGCCCCGAAGCCGTGGCCGCGTCCTGACGTGGATGCCACGGGTAGTGGCGGTGAGTGGAAGTGACTCCTCCCCTTCGGCAGTTTTCAAAGTCCCCACGTCTCACTGGTGACGCCCGCCAGGGCCAACGTTGTCTAGAATGGACGTGATCTGTGAGGAGGAAATGGAAGCCGCTGACATGGAAGAGCTGCTCACGGCGACAGCCCGCAGGCCGACAGGTGAGACCACCAGACGTCTCGCGACGACGCTGTTTCCGGTCTCGTTTCGTCCAGTCAGCCTCAGGGATGGGTTTATCTGAGCGTCATCAGGTCACAGCGGGCTCTTGGCGTCTGGCAGCAGCACTGTGGCCTTCCCCGTGACCTCTGGCTTGGTGGCCGGCTCGTCAGATTCCTTGGCCTGAACCGCCCCCGCCCCGCTGAGGCCCCGCCGGGCAGTGGGGTCTGCGTGCCCACGGGCCAGCTGTACGTTCTGTTCGTCTGCTCTTTCCTCGGTGAGACCAGAGGGTGGATTATCTTGTTTCAATTTCCCCAAAGCAGCCACTCATGGTTTGAATCTATTTTTTTACGGTTAATAGTTTTTTTATTTGTACAAATTCATTCCTGCTATTCCCCCCCAGGTTTATTTTTTTGTATGACGTAGTTTTTATGGCGGCTAGCAAACGCGCTGACTTTCATCTTCGCTGATATGTGAGTCAGGGCTACGGTCACTCCTCAGCCTTGTTTGCAGCTCCCGCGGGAGGTTTTCTGAGTGTCCCCTTGAAAAGATTTAATTGGGATCCTTGTACAATACAAACTTCCCGGCCTCACCTCAACCCTTCCCGACTGGGACCCTCAGCCGGCAGCTGGGCGCAGCGGGTGCCTCCCAAGTGCGTGCTCGGAGTCGGGCTGAGCAGTGGGTGCGCTGGGCGGGCGCGTTGGCGTGGCATTTGCTAGATAATCTGACTGGTCTCTGACTCCAGAATCGTGGCAGTTGTGGGCCACAGAATTGTTCTGCTACTGTCAGTGCACGATCATTTTGAGAATTTGTACCATCTGGAATTTGTTTTCCTTCATTTTAATTATATATACATAGATTTATAGTTTATGTTTATACATTATATATTAGAATATGTTACAGATTATGTGTACATGTTCACATAATTTTCTGGAGGCTCTCTGAAAGGAGGCGCAGTCTGTATTTCTGAAGAGTCCCGAATGCTACGTATCGATTTAATCAATATTCATGGCATCTGTATTAGCTCTGTGCACGCTTGCTTTGCCACTGGGGGTGGTGGGAGAAAAACGCCTGTTAGCCTTCCGTGTATCTGTCTTGCTGGGGAGGGCATCGATTCTTTATTTATGAAGTTGGATGCTATTTAAAAATTTTATAAATAGATATTCATTACGCTTAGATTTTCATGCTGGTTAAGTCTGATACAAATGTTTTAATCTGCTTGCTTTTTCAATTTATCTTCTTGGTAAATAAGGTAAGCTGACATTTGTTTTGATAACTCATATATTCATAGTTCCCACAGACTTTCTCCCCTGCTCCTCCCCGGCCCCCTCCCCACCAGTGTGCGCGTGGAAAGGCATCTTCTTCCCCTCGCGTCCTGTGATCTGATGCCTCCCCTGAACCCACCCCCACCCCGCTCCGTTTTTCTTAGCTCTTCTGTGTCGTCCCAGAATTTCCATACGCATCTGTAAATGAGGCCAAGGACACGCCTTTCATAGCGGGAGTCCGCCCCTTGCTTGGTGGCATTCCTAGCAATGAACGGGACACATCTTTACTGTATACCATTTATTGGCTATAATATGCTTAATGACTTTTTCCATGGAAATCGCAGGTTGCGTTTACCGGAAGAACCCCGATACGTGTACAAGAGTGACAGACTGTAACATAGCAAGGTACGTGAAAACAATGAGCAAACCAAAGCGTTATAAATGGTTGAAGCATCGTAACGTCAGTGTGCTGTGCAGTAGATGCAGCTGTACTGTGCTCAGTCGCCGTAGCCACGTTTCAGAGCCACACACACATCCTAGCCATGGCCCTGCCTGTCGGACCTGACGGGAGGCCACGGGGCGGCGTCTTGCTGGCTAGCGAGCCCCGGCCTTCCAGTTTCTCTCTCTCCCTGCCCACGCGCCGCCCGCAGGCCGTGATCACGAACGCCATGGCGTTTGTTTATAAAGCTAAATGATCACCCGACGTCTCATCTCTTGTTTGGATTTAAAATGTGCAAAATCGAGGACTAAAATAGGTAAGATTCACAGGGAACATGGAAGATGTTTCTGGAAGATGACGGGGAAAACCGGGGTAGGTTACAGAGACTCTAACCTGAAAGGGCCTAATCGCGTTGAGACTGACTTTCGTTCCACCTTCCGGGCCCAACAGTCCTCACAGGCTGTTCACAGCACGCTACAAGCCATGTTTCCCCGGTTTCCCAGCAGACACAAGCACCAAGTGGCTGGACGCCCAGCGGCCCTTGACCTGAAGGTGAAGAGGGGGCTTCCTTTATGAAAGGTAGGGAAACCGGACACCCACAGGGAGGGGATGGCTTCTGGAAGATTCCTTACCGCACAGAAACGGTTCTCAGCCTGGGGCTTATGAATCTCAGTGTTTTTTAATCATGATTAATTTTCAAATAGGTTTACAGGGGTAGCTGTCACTAGGAGTGTGGGGTAGGTCAGTCATGACAGGTGCAAAATGAGCTGATGGTCTAAGGCGACGCCCCTTGCTGAGGCAGGGGGTCCCTGTGAGTGGGTGCTGTGCTCAGAGGGATTGTGCCGGGTTTCTGGGTGCCGGGGGGGCAGCTCCTGCTGCAGCCCTGGGTGCCTGTGGGGGGCTCGGGGGTGGGGGTGGGGCGGCTGCAGCAATGCCTGCTTTGGCTGGGTGGGGATGGGGGGCAGAGCACTGAGGTTGGCGTGGGTCCATCTGGGGAAAGGAAATGTGGGGTGACACAGGGAAGCAGGCTGATCTGTCCAGCCGGGGTTCCCCGTGTCCTGACCAGCTGGGCCTGTTTGGTGCTGGGAGAAACTGGCTCCCAGCATGGCCAGCCTCTGTGGTGGTGGCAGGAGAAAGGGGGGGCCCATGTGTGCCCCCAGGCCCACAGGAAGTGCACCCCAGGAGGAGGCAGGGGTCGGGCCTCGTTGGCTCAGCGCGCGGGTAAACAGGGTGCTGGGGCCCGCCGGCTGCCCGCACCAGGCTCTCGTTAGCACCATGGGCAGGCACAGGCTCCTCAGGACAGATGAGTTCGGCAGTTTCCTCAGGGGCCACGCCCGTGATCTGAGTCCATCTGTCAGACAGCCGTGGCCTGGGTTTCGTGGGCCTGAGAATTCCTGATGAGTCCAGGAGGCACGAGTGTGTGTGGGGAGGTTTGTCAGCGCGGTGCGCTGGCAAACCGTTGCTGGTGCGGCTTTGGTGCTGGGCAGCCGTGAGCGTTTTGAGATGGAAAACGCGAAGCCTGTTTCTCTCATCGCTACATGTCTGGTCCCCGATGCCAAACCTTTCAGGAGCTGAGCGTCCCGGAGGCGGCCTGGGGCGAGTCGTCCGCCTCGCCAGGAACGGGCAGTGCACGCTCCCTGCAGGCCGTGAGCGGACCCAGGCAGCAGAGGCCCCCGGTGAGTGAGGGCCTGAGGGCTCGGCTCGAGTTTTCATGCCTACACAGTTTGAAAAAGTTAGACGGTCTTTGAAACAGAAGTATTGATCTTTGTTTCCACCATCTGTGAAGCTATAAAAAGGGGGTAACACCTCCCCTCAGAAAAATCTGGAGATTATTGCAGAAGATGCTTCATTTTGTAAATACTGCAGGGGGGAAGTTCTGCTCCTTCGGTAACACTCTCTGTGCATCGTGAGGGATTATTAGGTCTAAATACGGTCTCATCTAGAAAGAAACTGCCTGGCTCTGTAGAAGCGGTCAGCCCTGCAGGGATGAGGCGGCGTCACCAGCCGTAAGCCCTCAGTGGCCACCGGTGACGGGAGCTGAGACCACAGCACTAACCCCACAGCGTCATACTGTTCCCGGGCGTCTGGAAGCTGTTGCTCCTGGCCTTCTAGGGGCAGACCCCCAAACCGTGCGTGTCTTCTTGTAACAGGAGGAGGGGGAAGATGCCAGCTGTGAGGATTTGGCATCTAGCCAGTCCAGGCCCACGTATGCACCGTGAGATGCTGTAAACTCTCCAGCTCGGTGAGCCGGCGGCAGTGACACGCTCTGCCGTGGCTCTGCACCTTCAGGATGTCCCTGGCCGCACAACCAGCCGCTGTGGGCTCTGCAGCGCGGCGTGCTGACGCCGGTCCCCCGCCGGTCGTGCGGGTGGACGGCGCGCCACCGTGTCCACTGGCGCCTAGAGGTGACGGTGGGGCGCTGAGCTTCTGGGACGTGTTTCGCTCTGCTTTAAGGCACAGGGAAGCCACTGAAATGACCCCACTGCCATCTTTACCCTAAAACGCCCGGGCGAGTGACGGAGCTGCTGTCATTCGGCTCTGCGAGTGGACGCGGGTCCCGATGACCTCCCCAGCAGCACGCACGCTGGTGCTTCCCCTTGGGTGAGTATTTTTCTTGTCATTTTCTTGCCAATGAATGCGGACGTCTTGAGGACTTGGGAAACAGCCGCCCGGTCAGACACGGGGCGAGAACGTGGCTAAGGCACATCGCCGCGCCTGCGGCTCGCGGACGTCGAGGAGGGGAGGCCGGCGTCCTCATCACATTCCGGGGGCTCAGCAGGCAGGGCCCAAGGGTCAAGGAATAGACAGACTTTGGGGGGGGGGGCTTGCTGCTAAAACGCCTTTTTGCAGCGAAGCTGGTTAGAGAACTTCCTGGTGCCGTCTGGCGCCCTGTTGTCCAGCCGTCCGAGCCGGGACGGCCGAGCGTGGGGCAACCTGTCTCCCTAGCTGCGCCTGCACAGAGAGGGGTGTCCTCTGCAGCGCGGGCACTCGGGCTCTGGTTACTGGGCACAGCCCAGGGGGAGCCCCATCGCTCTGCACAGAGATACTGGGTTAAGCTGAGGAGATGTGCTGGACTCTGACGGCAGGAGCAGTGGAAAGACCCCCCCCACGGTCCGGTTCCAGCTGGTGTGCCCACACCGGCACCCCGCTTCCAAAGGGCAGCCAGGAAAAGCTCTGGGTGTTTGTCAAGCCACCTTTCTTCCTGCTCTCCAAACGTTCTCAGGGCCAGTGAGCTCACAGTCAACTTTCTGCCTGGCTGCCCCTCCCAGTCTCTGCCCTGAAATTCCTCGACACAGCCCAGCCCTCCCCAGGGCTTCCTGGCTGGAAACCGGCACTTTCCCTGTGGTCTTGGGCTTCGGGGCGTAGCAGGTGGGCTTGCCTGCTGGCCGGGGCCTCCCTGAGAGCCGGGCACAGCCTGGGCCCGAAGCCCCTGCTCTGGTGTGCGGTCAGGGGTTCCAGACTACCACTCAGGGCTCTGCCTGGGGTCTCTCGAGCTGTGCCTGACACCAGAGCCACTGCCACGGGTTAAGGAAAGCCTCGATCAGAACGTAAACATCCTGTCCAGAGTCCCATAAAGCACATTTCAAGTTCACTAAACAAGCCTTCCTTCCGTGGAAAACTCAGTGGTGGTTGAGATGCCCAGGACGGCGCCCGCGCCCCGCGAGCATCCTGCATAGACGAGGAATTCACAAGTACCTGAGCAGGCGCGCCGCGGGCAGGAGCTCCGAGTTCTCAAGACACGGCATTTTAGACGTCACAAAAACCCTAAGGTCGGTACAAACATACCCCAACTGGCGTTGGGAGATAGTGCAAACTGCGTCTCCCGGAGCCGAGGGCCAGCTGCTCCTCGCTTCAGGCCGTGGCGTGGGCGGGCCGGGGCGGCGGCTGTCTCGGGGCGGGCCTGCGTGTCCGGGAAAGAGGGGACGACCGTCAGAGGCCCGGGGGCCACGTGTGCACTTGTCGCCCGCGGGGGCGGCCCCCTCTGCGGGGGGCGGCTGGGCCCTGGGGAGCCCTTCTCAGAGCCCCCCTTGCCGCCGCATGAGCAAAGCAGACGGGGCTGACGTCCACTTCAGTTCGGGGTTTAGACAGTGCCGGGTGTGCTTGGCCCATTAGGTGGCCGACAGAGGGCTGGGGGGTGCGGGGAGAGGGGCACCTCGCGGGCGCTACGTCTTTAACGTGCTTTGCTGCCCTTACAGCTCAGCTCAGGCGTCCCAAGGCGCCTGCACCGTGCCAGACGGCGCAGTCCTGGGGTGCCAAGCCGCGGGCGGGGTCCCTCAACATGAGCGTGGCGGTGGCCTTCCCTCGCGGACAAGACCCACGTCCGCCGGCTCTGTCGCCGGAGGCAGCAGCTCCCCCTTCAGCCCGTGCGGAAGGCGCCCCGGCGGTGAGGGCGCGGAGCCCGCAGGCGGCGGAAGGGGGGGCCGCTGTCCGCCCCTCTGGCCGGCTTTACCTCTGCGGCCCGTTGGCCGCCGTCTCGCCCCGTAGTCGGGAGAGCACGGGCGTGTGGCCCCTTTGGAGAAGCGGAGTTGCTGACCCGGGCGGCCTTTGCCTCTGAGGAGCCACGAGCTGGCTTCCTGCCCTGGGGGGGTGGGGCGGCCCCTGCCCAGGACGGGGTGTGAGCAGGCCGGGGCGCCCCGGTGTGTGAGGCCGAACCCGACCAGCTGCAGTCACTCGGGCTCCTCTGTGCAGTCTGGGGCTGTCACGGCAAACCGCGCGCGGGCTCAGGCCCTGCCTCTTCTACAGGAGGGGGCGGGGGGACCCCAGCAACAAGAATCGCCTTGAAAGCGAAGGTCGGTGTGTCTGGGCCCCCCTCTGCTGGCAACTGGCTCATCCTCCCCTGCTCGCCTCCGCCCTGTCCCCCATCTCGGGCCCAGGGGTGGGGCAGCGTCATGGGTCAGAGGAGACTTCTGGTGCCACAGCCAGGCCTGCCTGGGCCACACCTGCCTGGGCCCCAGGTAGGGGACACACGGCCTAGAACGCTCCCCACCTTCCCCCCTCCCCGGGGCCAAAACCCCAGTCTGGGCTCAAAGCCTGGCTCGGCGAGACTGGCCTGGACAGTCCGGGGGACGAGGGACGGACGAGCTGTGTCGGACCAACCTGCTGGGCGCCGGGGGGAGGCCGGGCTCGGGCCGGCCCGGGGTCCTGGCTGCGGTGCTGGCCGGCCGGGCCGCCTTGCCCAGAGGGTCTGCCGGCAGAGGCTTCTGAGGAGGGTTTGGCTTGCGAGTTCCCTGCAAAAACCCACAAGACCAGGCGTCACCCCCGTCTCGGGGCCACACCCAGTGACCCTTTGAGCCCCGAGTCCTCTGCAGAGGGGACACAGGGTCAGTGAGTGGCCTCGGGGCTCCGGCCTGTTCCTGGAATGGGGGTGGGGTGGGGAGCTGGGGCCACCTCTGCTAATCTCACCCCAATCCTCTCCAGCGGCCTGGGGGTGGCCACACAGGGAGCTGAGCCAGAGGCTGAAGATGAGGCGGCCGTGAGGAGGGATGGAGCTGTGTCCGCGCCTCACCTCTGCCCGGGCCGTACAGCGGAACAGGCCCCACCACCCGGGAGCAGGCGCGCGGGCACCCTCCGCCGTCACCGGCCCGGTCACTTCCCCACGGGCCGTGCTCACGGACGGGCAAAGCCCGCTGGGCGTCCGAGGCGTGAGCAGGGGCGGGGTGGGGCAGGGGTAGGGTGCATGCTGTTGGGGTTCTGGCCGGAGCCCAACACTTTGGACTGGGCACCCTGGACCCCAGCTTCTCCCCCTGTCAAGTGGGCGGGGCAAGGCCAGTCCCACAGCAAGCCCAGAGCCATCAGCAGTGACGTCAGCGCGTCCTAAGCCACAGATTTTAAAACGCAGCAGAGCGCACGGCCACAGCGGGCAGGCTGGCGGGTGAGTGTGGACAGTGTCCAGGAGAACAGGCCTCGGGCGCTCAGAAATGGAGGGGCCTGTCCTGCTGAGGCAGAGGGGGGCCGTGGGGCCAGACAGAAGAGTTAAGGGGGGCTCCAGAGACAAGGGCGACACCCCAGCACTAAGGGCAGCAGCACAATAAAGACCGAGGGCTCAAGCCGAGCGCTGGGCGCACGTGAGCCGGGACCTGCCCTGTCAGGGCTGGAGCTTTAGGATGCCCAGGGCAAGAAGGCGCAGATTCCTGGGGCTCCCTGCCGCCCCCCTGCGCCCTCTGGCCCCAGAGCCCCACCTTATTTCTGCTCCCTTTCTTCTTAATAAACGTTTTCTTTCTTTAAACAATTCTGCCTCCTCACCTGAGTGCCTGCGAGGTTCCTATTGCGGCTTCCTGAGGCACCAGCCCGCGGGGTCCTCGTGGGGGGCAGCACTGTCCCAGCAGCTGGGGCCTGTTCCTGGCAGGGAGACCAAGCCTGAAGACCTGGCCCTTTGGCATCACTGAGGGGGACAGGTCACCCCAAGAGACTAAGGATTCCGTTGGCCGTCGGGGCTTCGGGATCCCACCCACAGGAGCACGCGGGGACGCTCACACCTCACGGTCCTCACCCCACTGGACAGGCTTTTCCTCGGCCATGAGAGCAGGGCTGAAAGGACACCGCCGTCCAGCGGCCCGAAGGAGCTGCCCGGGGGTAAGCCACAGCTGCGTGGGAAAGGGCCGGCGGCCCCTGCCCACCGCTGGACGCGCTCAGTCCCCAGGGCCGAGCGAGCGGGACTCAGAGACTCGGGAAGGCTGAGCTCTCACACGCCGCTGGCCGACGATCTGGGAGCCAGCCTGGCCACCGGTCATCCCAACGGGCCTGAGAGGCCCCTTGGAAACAGCCCTTCAGATCTGTTTTCATTTTAAACGAGGGAGGGAGGGAGGATTCAGCTTCCAGATGGTGGGGAGAGCCAAGCGCTGCTATTGGATGGCCCCATTCTCCTTTTCCCGGCTCACGTCCTGCTAACAGTAGCCACGAATTTCAAATTTCTAAATCCAAGTGTAGCCCTGTGCTTTGGCCACCGTGTGCAATCCCCAACTCATCGGCTTCCGTCTGGTGAGAGCGACGCAGCCTCTGCCCCGGGCGGCGCAGGACGGCGGAGGCCCGGCAGAGGCCAGGAGGCCACTCTGCAGCCTCGCCCCCGGCTCATTGTTGGGTCAGTGAGAGGATCAAAGGTGCGGCAGAGCACCTCAGAGGCAAGTGCGGAGCAAGGAAGCGCTGCTGGCCAGAGCCCACCGTGTCTCGGGCTGGGAATCGTACGGCGCTAGGCCTGCCCGGCCGGCCAGCGGCGGCACAGACGAGAGGAGCTACAGCAGACGGCAGGAACCAGCATGGACCGGAGACGAGGGCCACCAGCGAGCCCATGCCTGGCCCGCCCCGGCGGCGCAACAGGTGAAGCGCTGTGCCACGAAGCTGTCCGCAGCCGCTGCAGCGCGAGCTCAATTCGCGGCCAGGGAGGGACCCCCAGGGCGCCGCAGACCTCTCCTGTCTCCCCGCTGCTCCCCTCAGCAGTGGGTTTCAGTGGGTCGGCCTGTCCTGCTCCC